TGGCAGGATTTTGTAACATTCTTTACATCTAACGTCTTAATGCTCTCCTTTGTTTAGTTTTCTTTCCTATGGCTTCCGATACTCTACGTGTTAAGGCTTCAAGAAAACAAATTAGCTCAGGCACAGCAAGCACCCAGACCAATTCCTGACACACAGTCAGAACACACCAAACAGCACTGGCAGCCACTGCACTGGAAGACATTTCTTCTGCTATGAACACAATGTGAAGCCTCCAGTTTACAGGCCCTGCAAGCCGTTTTCTCAGCAGCAGCACGGGAATGCAAGAAGCTCCTGTTCTGTTACACTTTGTCAAAAAGTCAGAACTATCTTTTAGACTTTAAACACTGATTTATTTGCAGTTGATGGCGCACGAGCTTGTCCTGACAGGCACATGAAAGTGAAAGTAAAATTCATGTCATCAGTTCTCTCCTCTCTTGGTATGGTCTCAGCTCAGCCTTGTCAGTTTCAATACACAGAGAATCGCTAACAGGATCTTGGTCCCCTGAGATATGAAGCTGTTCCAAATCCAAATTGATCTGGATTTTTATATAAATAAATATATATTTGCTATTTGAAACTCAAATATGTGATGAATACAAGGTGTTTCAGTGAGTGCTCACCTGTGCATGCAAATTTGATTTCATCTTTAGTAAGTAGTAAAATTATATGCTTGCCAAACAAAATAATAAGTGATATACTGGAGGACAAATGTAACACAATTTCAATTTTATGTGTAACCTAGAAATGATGTACTTATGGGAGAAGAGAGCAGAATTGTGGCTATTAGGCTTCAATGTGGGTCTTTTAACAATGGGGAAATCATTTAAGGATATAAAATTGCAGTTGGACAAGAGGCAGGGACTCTGTGATGTCTTGAGGTCTACTGAGAGCATGATAAATATGGTTGATAACAATATGCTATAGTTTAAAAGCTGTGAGAGAGTATACTTTAAATGTTCTCAAAACAAAAATGATGAATTTGTGTTATATAACATGTCAATTGGTTTAATTTAGCCATTCCATTGTGAACATACTGTATTATGTATCATAATTTTGCATGACTTTATTTATGAGCTAAATAAATGAATGGAGAAAGAAATTATCATTTACCAAAAGCATCAAGATTTTCTTCTTTTTTTCTCTAGGAAATTCACAGGATTTCTCTGTTTATTTAGACTTATGATAATTTGTTGGTTATTTTTATGATGAGTTTAAGTTTTATACCTACATTTCACAAGGGGACATGGTGAGAAGAAACAGTGGCCCCTGTTTGTGACCTTGAATAGATGCCTGACTTTCTATTTATGAAGCACAATTGCCTAAGCCTTCCTTGGAGTTAGTATAGGTTCTTAGGTCTGGGTAGAAATGCTAAAAAAGAATCTTTTGATTTGGGAAATATGGATGCTCTCATCTTTTATGAGAGTTTAAAGATGAAAACTAACACCTCCAAGACAAAAGGGATCACAGACATAAACATGGCCTTCAGTAGCAGCATAGACCATGGGATGCCAATATGGAAATCAGTGACAATGTGGACCACCTCCTGTGCTGTGTGAGGCCACATTGATGCTGAAGTCTATGTTGATGCCCATGGTCCATGCTGCCACCAGAAGCCATGTTGGTGTTTGTGGTTCTTGTTACACTGGAGAACATGCTGAGGTGCATCATCAGAGCTTTCACAGGAGACTATGCTGATTCTATTGTCTGTGTGTTGCAGTTATTATGGACAAAAAAGCTTCTTTTGCAGTGGTATCAACTACTGAAGACCAGTAATTGAAAATAAGAGACATTGGAAGCTTCTATGACAATTCCACAGTCCCCCAATTGAAACAGTACAGACAGGAAGCCATTGAAGAGAGTCCTTAAAGAGTCCTTAAAAATTATGACAAAGAGCTGAAGTGTAGCTCTTCACAGGTG